CCAGACATGTCACTGCACGGATCTCCCGCTGCATGCTGCAGCCTCCAAGCTGGCACAGAATCGATGGCCCAGAAATCTACACCCAGATCTGATGCCAAAGTCTGAAAGATATTAACAACTTACAGTACCCAATGAACCATGCTGAGGTTCAACGGATTCTTCAGACCTACAGCCTCTAAATCCGAAATGCTGTAAGAGCAAGGATCTCCGACACTCTCAAGCCGTCACCACGGATACCTCCAACTCTACACGTATTTCAGGGGGAAAACATCGACTCCAGACGAAGCCAGGGGAAGGGGTGGCACATATGAATGAACAAAAGACATGTGGAACTCTTTCTGGCAGGCTTTCTCGGCCCTTTTCAATTAGAAGGCCTTTGAAACTTCAGTAACTTATTCAAGGCTTGGTGTCTGTAGTCCGAGGGCACTTACTTACGTGGTGGGCACTTCGTGTTCAAGCCTTTCGTGCTTTGATGTGTTCAAACCATTCAAATGCAAGCCTCGGGGCTTGCTATGGCGTACACCCGAGGCCCTCAACCCCGAACCCTAAACCTAGAGTTCAGGTTTGGTGCTTACTCGAGTGGGGCCACAAAAAGTCAGGCACAAAAACTTGTCATTCGGCTTGCGGGCGTCGAAGCCTTTTTGCACATGTTGAACTCCAGGCTTCGAGACCGCTGCGACCCGCGTTGTGGCTGCATGTCGGGCAAGAGAACCCGTCTAGTGGCATTTCTCACAAGCATCAACCAAAGACGAATACGACCAAGAGATGGACGGAGCCCTACGGCGCCGTCCTACACTAGCCATTGCCAGTCCAGTTGAGGTGGCTGCCTTCCGAAGAGGTGGTCGCATGACGAGCAGCATCTCCTTTGCCCCACGCCGCCGCAACGCCTTTCCGAAAGGAATCGCTAGTCAAAGTCGTGGTCGGGACGGGCATTTTATTATGTTCCGTTGTCCAACACTCCTGTAATGCCTCCGATGAGTCTTGCGGGAAAGGGTGGCCGGATCTGTATACACGCTGCTTAGTCCGCTGTAGGCAACCATCCGAGGGTTACTCAGATCTGCTCGATCATCATAACAATACGTAGTCACAAGTCATAAGTCAAAAGATTCCGAAATGCTTGGGTCGTACCCGTAATCTAACACATGTTGTCATGCCCAGACTCAAGCGAAGCCCGAGCTTCAAAACCTCGACACGCACATTTACGACCGAGCTTCGGATCCACCAGTGGGACCAGTTCAGCACAACGCCGAGGCTGTGGAATCGTCTCCCGGCCCCCACTATGTCCTCCTCCAGGCTACGGATTTCACGGCACTGGGGGATGGGAACCTAAAGGAGCAGTTTTTGTGCATTCTTAGCGCCTGAACCATGGAATAGGCCTGGCCGCTGATGGACGGCGTAGAAAGACAGGTTGGCTTCCCAGACCGCAAAATTGAACGTTAGCTGGTCCCTGGCGGTGCGGGTAGGAAGGTCTTCCGCGTGTTTGTTTGCACCTACTGCTCGCAACTGAACCGGAAGCGTGAAGCTACTGGACTGGCTAAATCCCTGACCTCGCCTGGGTACATTCCAGGAAAGGAACTCTTTCATCCAGGCACATCCGATCAAGGAAGATTCCGGCGCCCGGAGGTCCCGATAATGCCAGGTGCCTAGCTCAGAGTTCATTTCCTGTAACTTTAGCTACTCTAGCTTAAATGAGCAGCAGTGCAGGTCAAGACAGCTAGTGACGGCTGGCTGTGCAGGGGTCCAGCTAGGGGATTTGTGCCTGCACTCCCACATGGGTAGTAAAAGCCACGCACAAGTCCAGCCTTCGATCAAATAAGGTGGTGCCTGCAATGGATAGCCCTTGGCGTGGTAGGACAGCATTTGATCGACACACGTGTCGTCCGTAAGGTTGTACACGCCTCGGTTCAGGTAGGTCCGAGGTTCGGAATTAGCACATCAGTATCGTCTCTGATAGAGTCCGTGGTATGACGCCGCAAACACCCGGCTGGCAGCCGACCTGGTTGACGCATGCTAATTGGCACTCAACATCTCCTTGCTGTTGCCGAGGAAAGCGCCCGTCAAAGCAAAACACTTCATCCTAAAGCTCCGGCGCACATGAGCTGGCAATGGTGAGCTGGGTAGACAATCTGGTGCAAAGTTTAGCACTGACCCGCAGAACATGCCCAATCCCCCAAGACATTTGCACAAAAGCCCTGAGGACCGAAAAAGTGTGACATCCACAAAACCTTGGATAAAACACTGACTATCCCTTACCGAACCCTAAATCCCTAAGTCTCAAACCGGATGGCCAGGTGTTTCTAGTAGTTCAGAGTTTGGGACTCCTAAGGCTTAAACCAAGCTTAGGGCGTAAAGAATGTAGGATGATATTAATTCAGGATTCTTTTATAGGCTAGACTCGACAAGGTGCAATGACACTTTGTAGGATCCATGGTCTGGGGCCTGCAATGTTTGTCTAACTGCTTGGAGACTTTAAGGTGATACATGGGGATACTATTCCGTGGTGTTCCGATCCCTTTCTTGTCGGGTCAGGCGGTCCAGGTTTTGCAGGACTTCACAGAGCTGGACGGGTCGGGAGGATTTACCACAAACGTCAGACCAAGACTCACAAGCTAACTCAGGCTTGCTTACCCTGATGCAGCCATGGTGCAAACCTGCAAGGCCTCTTCGTAGATTGTCCGCCTTTCCAGATGCAGTGGCGAGGCCCAAGCCACCCTGCCACCTGATGGCCGCAGCGCCCGGAGCCTGGCATTGCGGCATTGCGCATTTGCCAGCGGAGCAACACTGGAACCGTTGTGCTGAGTTCCTAAGAAAAGGGCCAGGCAGCACGAACGCTTCTACGGTCTCAGGCGTGACATCGTCTATGATCAGCTTTCCATCGACATACAAGAGAAACTCCGCGGAGCTGAAGGCTCAATGTGACAGCATCTTCATAAGCCTCGAACGGCGTGTGCGTGCGAAGGGCGACGGGATGCTGCTCATCATGCTGTCGCTCAGAATGACCACGTGCCATTCTCCCAGCCGCGGCAGCACGCAGGGTGATACTTCAGACGATCTTGACAAAAAGCAAGCGTTCTCCAGCTCAGCTTCTGGCACAGACGCTCTCGCACTAGCTTCGTCGAAGAATATAAAGAAGCAAAGGTTAGGGCCACTGGTTCGTGGAAAAGACAGATTAAGCTTGTCGTATGCCCCAGTCACCGTTGTTACGACAACAAATCGACAAGGCTGCGAGCTGTTGCGTTTGACATGGAATCGCCGGTGGTCCACAGGTATCGGAAAGGTAAATGAAGGCAGCAAGGCCGGACATGGATCCACAACCCTGTCGAGCCGATCCAGCAATGGCTCCGAGGTATGTATGACTTGCATTACCTGCAAGCCTTGTTCCACAAGCTCGCTCCAACTCACGACCATCTTTGCAGCAATAATGGCGACACCGCATAGGAGGATAATCTGCACAAGTCGGCGGTGAAGCATCCTGTCATCGGGTATCATCCATGGCTTCCATGGGCTTCAAGGACATGCCACAAGCTTGATGAATTTAGGGACATGAACCTCCCAGGTTGCATTTTGCACGAAGCGACTTCATGTGACGTCTTGCTCAGGCTGAACGTGGTGCGCGACTTTGTGCTGACAGTCGATTCCAGCTTCGAGGTCCGATTTGTGGCAAAGTCGCACTGACCAGATCAAAACACCTCGCCTGACTAGAAGAGAACCCATTCAGATCCATCAGTGTTGCTACAGTCCGTAGCTAGAACTCGTGCTGCCAGAATATGTTTTTCTTGGTCAACTCGAGACTCGATCCTGACGAACTGCAAGAGGTAAGTGCCAAAGAAAGCTTGAAGACTTCGCGCATTACTGTAATTGTTTGGCTCGGCTGCAGGTTTTTCATGCCAACAGCCAGACATGTCACTGCACGGATCTCCTGCTGCATGCTGCAGCCTCCAAGCTGGCAAAACAACTGTACAGGCCCTGCCGGCCGAGAGAAAACAGAGCAGGATTTGAGATTCCCTGGTGGAGGACGAAAGCAGAAACCACTTGCATGCAGCTGGCTTTCCTCCTCACGCCACTATAAGCGGGCTTTCAACCTCCACCCTGGGGATCATGAGCAGTCAGTGCTCGCATTCGCTAGTTATTTAAACTGCAAGCCGTCAGACGTTATGCCTCATGGGCGTGCTTCGCAAGGCTGTTGGATCAAGCAAGTGTGCACAGCCTCCGCTGCGAACCACCGCGATGGCTTGTGCAAACAGCTACCAATGAGGGTCTCCTTCACGAAGACAGCACATCATCGATGTAGACAGCCGACCACGACTAAACCCAAATTGCGAGGGGCAGCCGAAAATAACCACACTACACATTGACAGAGGTTCGCACAGGCTAACAGGTGCGCAGCTCAAAGGAATCTCACCTAAGCCATCCGCCAAAGACGGTGGCCACAGAGTTTTCAATTTCCTGCGAGAACAGGAACAAAAGGGATAGCACTGGTGCACAGTCAAGCAGACATCCGCCTTGCATGTATTCTACTCTGCGCAGCATCAAGCATGTCCAATCAGGGTAAAGCAATTGCATGTTACTGTTGACGCACGTTCCTGGCATCTGACTCTCTAGAGCGTCCTTGAATCAACCCATCAAGAATCGGAGACGACCTGCATCAGCAAGAGATGCGATCACTACTGGTAGCATCTCGCACCCAAGCTTCTGCCCACTCTGCAGCAGCGATTGCCTCCAGACCGCATTCTTGGACCAGCTTGGCGAGCTCTGCATCTCTGCCTCGCTTCCAGGCCGAAACAGGGGTATGCCACTAAGCGTCTTCCTGCAAAGGCGAATACTCCATCATGTCTAAGACCACTTCACGCAAGGGGGAACGCCCTTCGAAGGCTGCGGCTGGATGCATCGTCCTGCAAGATGGCATGCTTCAGTGGCGACAAGAATCGATGGCCCAGAAATCTACACCCAAATCTGATGCCAAAGTCTGAAAGATATTAACAACTTACAGTACCCAATGAACCATGCTGAGGTTCAACGGATTGCACCAGCCGTCACATAGCACGCAATCTAACAAAGGCAGCAAGACCTGACACTGTCCTTGAAGGCTGCCCGCCAAGATGTACAGCGGTCCAACATGGCCTAGCCGAGCCAGGAATATGCCTTTCCGTCCAAGCCCGAGCTCTGCGCGACCGAAAGGACACTGGATGCTGTTGCAAATCACGCAGAACCTGAATCCGCCAGTGGCTCTTCAACAAGATTTGCTTATCTCCCTCGCGCAGTTTGCCATTGCCTTCCCGAAGCTGCGCGTCTCATGGCCCTGCTCGACCTGGTGCTGGAAGACCTTTCAAACTGCAGAAGTGCAATCTGTTCAGTCGCGAACGGTGCAGATGGGGGTCCCATCTTACAGCATTAAGGCACCGGCTGTGTCGATGAAAAAAAAACTTGCAGGCCAGGCCCGACCCATGCATGAGAGGTGCTGAGCCCCAGGCATCGCGGAGAGCGGCCGCGACCTCGAATTTTATTTAGCACAGGCCACACTACCATGCCGCTTCCTGATGAGTCCAGCTGAGGGAAGTCAGTGTATCCCCAGTGTCGCATCGGGAATCGGTTCACAAATTGAGCCTTCTTTTCGGATATCTTTGGAAAATCTGTAGGACCGATACTGTGTCCCGAACCTGCGGATTAGTTGCTGATCCCAAAAGTCGGTCGGTGCTGTATGCATCCCGTTGCCATTGATAGCATGCCGGTTTCATTCCAATCTTTGCTCTAAACTTTCTCCCATGTCAACGCAACGGTGGCACTTTTCACTGTTGCATCTTACAGACCCCGATTGTTATATCAATTTCCTGCTACTAACTTGCCATAAACTCCAGCCAGTCTTCTCGAATGTAGCCGCGGCCGCGGTACATCTGCCGATATCACAACGGTTGAGATCCAGGCATCAAGATAACCCTTTGGGAGCTCCTCTCGGTGGAGTCGCTGTCGTGCATGCCTTAGCAGTCCCGCAGGCGTTGACTGCCGCGAAAGAGCTTCCCAGGAAACAACGAACTGGATCTGGGCTCAGGGTCAGAAGCACGGGTTCTGACTCAGTTTTACTATAAGATCCTGAGTATCCCCCTCAACGTCCCGTGCAAACTGCGCACCAGGCTCGACAAGAAAGCTCTTGTGCGTGAGTGGCAACGTCTTGACTGGTCGGAAGAAAAACCAATTACAGTTGCACCTACATTGAATCACATGGTGTCTACCGTGCATGCAATCCCAACTCGCCGCAACCTCAGCTCACATAAACGTGATCCTTGGAGGCGTACTTCTCCCCAAAAATGACCTGCTGTTTGCTTTTTGAATCGAAGCGGAGGCTCCAAGATGAGGCTGACAAAGAGTGCGAAGCTTCAAGTAAGACTGCCCTGCAAGATTGTGTACGGCTCATCCACGGCTGGAGAAACCCTGTAGGGTGTTAAGAAGTATTAACAAACAACAAACGAGACTCTGCTGCACCCCAAAAAAATCATTTGAGAGTCTCGCCCGGAGGTTATAGGGTGCTAATAACAGAATGTCAGTAGGAATACGATGACTGTTTGTGAATATGCGGACATTTAAGCAGATGAAACAAATTAAATGCTTTACACTACGTACCTCTTTGGGTGGGGTCGCCGGGTTTCAAAACATACGGAAGACTTCTTATAATTGTAGGCCGTGAAGTCGAGGGTCTCTCCAGTTCAAGCCCACCTCTCACTCCCCGCCCCTCCCCTCTCCCTCCCCTTTACCACCAACTACCTGGTAACCCCCGGGGGATGATTTGGGTGTCAGCCCCGACCCAGCCACCCCCCCGACCGTTCCCCACCTCGCGGATCAGAACAAGTTGCGGAGATCTGCATGGCGGTGCATTTTCGGAGTGACTTACGATCTTGCCAAAGGAAGGAGGCGCTGATCAAACAGATCGACGTCATCATCCGGTCTGACGATCTCGATCCGCAGCCGGGAAGCTTCAAGGCAAGCTTAGGTTCGGAGCGTCCCAGGCTTTGAAGAGCCTTCCTGCGTGCTAGGAGAACGTAACAATCTTCAATAATGTTGTCCAGATAATATTCTCAGATACCTAACCGTAGTGGTCATTCTCGTCTTCTCTTCTGCTTCTTTTCTGATGATTGTCTTCCGATAATTGGGTCAATGATCTCACGGTCTTTCATGCACGTGTTACAACTTGCAAGTGTTATGGCCTGTTAGGGACTTGCCTGACTGCTGAATAGTAATACAGTCGTCAGGTTCTTCATACAAGACCACGTCACATGTGTACGACTGAGTAGGTAAATTATTGGCTTCAACCGGCAGTTGAGCCTCTCTGATTCTTGTTGCTTTTCGGATTTCGATGATTTCATACTGACGATTGAATGTCAAGGTGACTGCCACTGGCTGCAATCGACCGCCAGCTGACTTGGATAACACTTTGGTATTCAAACCTCAAGTGGTTTCACCTGAGTTTGTCAACATGAACTGGTACTAGTAGTTAATGGCTTGCCCGTCATGCAAAGATTGTGGTTGACAATGAGGTGGGGGCTGCCCCCCCCCCAAACCCCAATCCCTCCGCTTTCTGCTTAGGTCGTGCAGGCTTTCACTAAACGAACCTGCGTTGAAGTCTTTGTGTCTTCTACTGAAGCTTGGGACCAGCAGCAAGTTGGGCAAGTCGACTACCTCTCAAAACAATACGGGACACTGTAATCGTGCACTTTTTAATGTCAGGTTGTTGGTTTTATTTTGCTCGTTCCTGAAATGAGAGAGCAATACACCGTCTCGGGCCACTGCCAAGATCAGAAAACCAGTGCCGTTAGAGCTTTGAAATGTGCATTCACGCATTTCAAGTCTGTGGCCTTGCCTATGCTCAAGCTTAGCATTCATTTCTCAACTTTAAGCCTCAGCTAGCAATGATGCTTCGGCCTTGTGTATTTTACTTTGCGCTCAATTCATTTTCATTGGTTTTGGTTTTGCAAATATGACCGCTTCCACTCGGACTCGTCAGATGATGGAACATCCAGTTTATGTCCAAATTGATAGTAATTTACTTTCACGTTGTTTGGAATCCAATTGAAAGGCCTTGGACTGAAGTGACGGGATTGCGAATGATGATGGTAACATCGAGTTTCAATAGTACCCCATGCTACACTAGAGGGATACACCACGAACCGTCGAGGGGGAGGGATAATCTACCACTCTCGGGGTGGGCACTTCGCAAAGCACTTCGCAGGCCCGGAGGTAGAGGCAGAGGTGGGGTCGCGTAGTGAATGAAGATCCACCCAAGAATCGTCAAGGACGGCCATCAAGCACTCTGTTTGACACAGGACTGCTCCGTGTGGTGTTTCTTGCTCCTATGCAAACCTTTAAGGACATCTGTGTGGAAAGTTTCAATGCGGACCTCTGCGTGCTTTGCCGAGCGGAAGAGGAGCCGCAAGGCCCCGGCAAGCACTGCCTGATCAACGAAGACATCAACGGCAAGCAAGCTAAGACAGCTAAGCAGTATAAGGCCGCCTGTGGTCATCTACGAATCTTTCCGAGGCTGAGCGAATCCGTCTTGTGTAGACTCCATGAGCGACGGAGGATACCATTCATCCGGCAATCTCCCTACCCCGCTCCAGGCATGTCCTGGTCGTAAAAGCCCCACCATGGGCATAATTCACATGTCATAGTCTTGCGATGCCACCCTACGACATGGCTTCGCGAAGAATCCTGCCAGCTTCCCGTCTCACGGATTCTCAAGCCCAAGTCAGACAGCAAACTGGAAGCTCTGAGCAAACACGTAGGACAGGCAAGCCTTGTTGTCACTGCAAGGATACAGCACACGTTATAACAACCTCGAGGACGCGAATGCCCTGGCCTCATCCTCGAAATCTTTGGCTTTGGTACGGGCCTTATGACGCCCAGTGCGAGGCAAACAAAAGACCTGTGATTCATTAAAACCGTTTTGCCCTATGGCCGCAACTTTGATGGCAGATCGAGCTTCAAGTGGGACCAGGGACCACAGGCCACATCCTAGCCCTGATTGACTTCTGTGCTGAAAGCCGCGGCGCCAACGTCGGGGACGTGTATGTATATATAGATATATACATATTTAAATATATACATACATACTTATATCTATATATATATATATATATGTATATATATATATATATACACACTCACCTTCTGCGTTCTGACCCTAGATTCTTTCAGGTCATGTGTGCCCTGATTGAGCATCCCGTGTTGCACAAGCTTGCCGAGCACCAAGCGCCGAAATCACGGAGCCAGAACTCCACACCGCGGCCACCATCCGAAGCTCCTAGCATGCAGTACAAAACGCGCATGGCCTCAGTCAGACCTTTTGGATCCTTTGGAGAATGCTTGCATCTGTGAAGGCAGTGGCACCTGGAAGTGCCCTGTGTCTTCGACGCTTGCAGCAAGCATCCAGCGCGACTGGCTGCATTTTCGGCTTGCGAAGACATTTATCTGCCGCAAGCAATGGAGCGTTTGCGACAGCTGGGCCGTGCTATGCAAGTTTTCGTTCGGTGTTCGATGGTGTGGGTCTTGTTTCCGAAATCGACACTTCTAAGATGCCACCTGTATCTGAAGCGTTTGGACCGGGCTGTTGTTTTTCGTTCAGGAGGGCCAGCTCCGTTCGAGTAGATTTGTATTTGTAGCAGTGTACACGATTTGCTTTCTGCCCGGCTTTGCCGACTTGTGTGAAATCTGAAGGTCTCCAAGCCGTCGGAAATCGGCTGTCTGGGCGCCATCCGTAGCTGGTGCAATGCAGGTGCAGTAGTATACTGCAACTGACATAGCGCTCAGTCCCCAAGGGGTACAACTACGAACAAAGGTGTAGCTTGCGGGCAGCAAGCATCAATTACTGATGCTAGTAGTCGACAAAAGCGGCAGAATCAGAATCAGCCCGGCAATGCTTGGCTTCTGGACTTGCACCTGTAATTCGAAGGCATGACTTAACCCTACAGCGGGCCCGACCGTCTTACAGTTCTACGCTTCGACCAGTTTTCGCTAAATCACTTCGCAAGGCAACGCCTGCGGACAGTTGGGCTGGACGAGCTTGGTCGAAATTGGAGCGTAAATTTCTCTAATGTTGAAGTCCTATGCAGGAACTAGTGTCGGAATCGCGGAGCTTCTCGCTGCAAGCTTTTGAATTGGACGCGCAGCATTTTCTGCAGTTTCAGCAACCGTCCGCACAGTCTCCACTACGCGCTGAGGTCCACAACTAATTTTTGGAATCGTTCCCCCAACAGCAAACCCAGCTTGCCCCAGCCGATTCGTCATTGAAGAGCTTGGAGTTTACTTGGTTCAGCAATGTAGAAGCGGTCGAGAGTAGGCAAGCCTTCATGTAATTGCATACAAGCAGTGTCCCCACACCACAGCCGGAAAGCAATTCACCAGAGCTCACGTAATCAGACGCATTCCACACGAAGTAGTTCGCTCACATACAACCCTGCGTTGATGGCTGGTACTGACTTGACTGTCGAGCTCCATCGACATCCGTGGCACACCCGGGGGACATCTGCTGGTGATTAGTCGCAAGTGTATCCCCATTGACAGGTTTGCAGTCCCACAAAAAGCAATGAATCAAACAAGATGAAAGCAACAAAAGCAAGAGTTGCCACAGCTTCCATCAGAACTGCGCGGAGTCCTTTCGTTGCCTCATCTCGCATGCTGCGATAGTCCTGGAGCGAGCAGTCTATGCGGCGTAGAGCAAATTACTGGCGGAGCGCTGGTGTTCCTTGGGATGGGCCTGCACGATCCAAGACTCTCCAGCAATGTGCAATCCACTTACTTCGCTACATGGGGGTTTCCGAAAATAGGGGACCTAAAAAGTAGTAGGATCCGTATTATAAGGACCTCCAAACAAGGTACCCCTTATTTTCGGAAACTACCATACTAGCTCTCGGAAACCTTCTTTGCTGACAGGCTGGATTCACGAACAAGAGTGAGCACAGAATGCAGGGGTTCGTCCTTGCCGAAATCGGTGACCCTGCAAAGGCCCTGAAGTTCTGCCTGACAAGTGAAAGTTGCCGTTTAAGCGGCAAGCGTGAAGGATGCACTGGCAGTCGGTCTTAACATCAAAGGCAAACACCAAGTTGGTTTGCATATCTCCTGCATTACAAAACGTCTTGACATCTCCAAAACCCTTTGCCAGCCTGACGTTGCAGCAACATTTCCAGCTGGGAACGCTCAGCCTGACATGAGGCGAACAACTCTGACCATTCGAGGCTCCTGTGCATCGAAAATGGTGCACAACCACTTATTTTGCAAGTCGATCCAACCTGCTTGCTGAACTGCTCGCTGTAAGCCGCATGCGACATGCGATGTTTAACAGTTTAACATCAGAATCAACACAGCATGCATGTATGGAGAGCTATGGAGAGCTTCAGCCTAAGTTGTGTTTGCTACCCTGACTGCCATACCATGTCGTGCCTCGGCCCCAACCAGCACAGTCGTTGGGATGACTTCCGTACGCTCCACGGTTGGAGCTTCCCTCGGAGATCGAAGGTTTGTAGTTAAGACTGTCACTACTGTGAACATCAACATGCACTGTCGATTATTTCAACTTTGCTTACTTAGTATTGTTCACAGAGTGCATCATGGCATGTCTTCGGCCGGTGGAACGTAAATTGTGATGTGCTGGTGTCGAGTGGGCGCGGTTGACAGGGGCATGACATACAGTACCCAAGCGTATCGTCAAGACAACTGTCAGGTTGTCACCAGCATCTCAATCTGGAGCTGTCACTTTGAGAGCACATGCGCTCATTTCTCAGCCATGCCCTGCCCCCCCCCCTCCCCCCACCCCCCGCCCACACCCACCTACACACACAAACATAAACTCAAACAGAGATACAAACACACGCAAACAAACTCACAGGCACACACTCACACACACACACAGAGCCAGCCACCCGGCCACCCACGCACAAACACAAACACACACACACACACCTACATACGTACATACGTACATACGTACATACGTACATACGTACATACATACATACATACATACATACGTACATACATACACACAAACACAGTCACACACACAAACTCAACAGCCCACACACAAACAATCACACACACACACACACGTCGTAAGAGGTAACAAGCTTGCACACAGCGATGCGAGAGGTCATGCCGTTCATGAGTGTGTGATCCGTGTGTTATTATATGAAATCCGCGATGAGAGTGACGAGTCACAAATCAGTTAGACCATGACGTTCTCTTGCATGGTTCCAGGCATGTGTTGCACATGTCCAAAACTTGAAAGTCAGATGGTCCTGAAATGCCGGTTTCGCAAGGAAACATTGTCAATCATCTTTCGTAGGGACGTGGTTTCTTCGCCATGACTGTGCTGCTGGCGGTCATGTGCCATGTGGAGGTCATGAATTCGCTTGGTACATAATGCTGTGCACCTGTCGCCATGCACTTGGAACCCAAGCTCACCGAACTCGCCCGCCACGGTGTCCAAGTCCCTGCGCCGCAACAGGCGTGTCTCCCAGCGCTCCTCTTCTGCGAAGCAGGTTCTGCGATGGGGTCTGGAGTTCTCTGACACTGGGAGCAAGGAGGGATGAACGTTTCTTGTTGTGCTGCCGGTACTGGTGCTGGTATTGCTGGTGTTGACGAGAAACACAACCTGAAACTGGATCTTTCGGTGCTATCGTTTGCCGACACTGTTCGGGTCTACCTCGTCAGCGCAGCATCTCTCCGGAAATCAATGCCTTTTGCCACCTCCTGTTGAAAAGTCAGCTTGAAGCTAACTTAAGACTTAAGCCTGACAAGTTGCCTGATCGCGCCTGTCACTCTGCAGATGCATCTTCGTTTTACATATCCAAAGGGGCACAGATACCAGGCGGCTGTCCTTGCGTGCGATCTCCGTTTGAAGTATCTTGATGTCCTGGTCGGGCTTCTGCAACTTGGGACAACTTGGGTGTGACGAACTGTGAGGAGTGGGACAAGTATGGCTATCAATCCTCGTAAACTGCTGCCACGGCTTTGACGTCGGTCGTGTTGTTTGCAAGTTCCCGAAGACACAAGCGAATTCGGTCTGTCGGATTCGGAGATGAAGGGGCTGAGCGCTGAAGCTTAGATCTCGTACCGACTGTAGGAGTACCTGCCTACTTCGTCCGATGGAGAGTCACAACCTGGGCTTAGCTGTGTACTGCATACAATCTTAAACTGCCCATAACTGTCCCGTCAAAGAAGCACTGCACAACCGTCTGGAATCAAAAGCCCCATGACCAGTGCAAATGGACATTTCCGGGTAAACTGAACGACACAAGTGTAGAATCGAACACCTGCTCAATCTTCTCAAGCGCGACGGTGATGGAAGCGGCCTGCAAACGCGACCGGGCTTTCAAAGGCGCACGCCTACTGCAACATGTCTTCAAAGCAGCATGCTGTGGACTTCGATGTAGGTCTGAACATGAAGGTTGATGTATCATTGGGGGCTGGGGCTAATGCGAACATCGGGCTGCAACATCGAAGCTCTTCATCACTTCTAAATACGTCAGCATGTGCTCTCGAGGAGACGACCGAGACGCAAAGGATGAGAAATGTCAATGAACAGTCAACCGCACAAGACCAGCTTGACACAGATCAGTTTCGCGCCGCAAGAAGCATCAATTGATCTCCCGATTTCTACATGAACTGGCTGTGTTGCCAATCACAGCGAATCGTCCACAACAAAGGCAAACCGACACTCCCAGACTTCTAAATCATCATACCGTATCATGCCGTGCTTAAGCTACTGTAGCGCATGCCGGATCATGATCGGCTTCCAACCTTCGTCAAGAATTACAAGACTGCGCAAGGTACGTTCACCGACGGTGTCTGCAGACCCTGCGCGCGCTCAGCTGCCTGATCTGCCTCTCGACGTTTCTGGACCTTCGTGCAGATCTGAATGTACGACTCGTGTTGGGATGCAGTGCTGTAAAATGTCTCCTAATGCTTACATTTCATGGGCGCACGTGCCGAACGTCGTGTATCCAGCCTTTGAAGTAACGCCACTCGGGGGTTGCCCGGAAACATCCAAGCCGCAACGCTGACAAACAACACACTTCTCCTAGTTTGGATGCCTGATATATTTCTCATACGGAAGCACTCAAACACATGAAACATTTGAGTTTGGCCTTCAAGCTAAACGCCCCGTGTGAGTTGACGGGTTGTGTGTGAAGATGCTCATGAATCACTCAGAACATATGTCTAGGGTTGTCTTGAAGGTTTGGGGTTGAAAAATATTCAGGAGGAAAGCTCGCTGGGGGAGTTTGGGCCCAGAAATTTCAGAATCTGCGAAGTGCAGGTTTCGTGCTGGACGATGTTCATGAGGTGGGCCTACAAGCAGTTCTTGAAACAGGCTCGAAACGGATACTGTCGCCGCAAGGCAGTTGGGCAACAGCTTGCAGCCCGCCCATGCAATGACTCCAAGACCTCGGCTGCCTTGAGCAGACCAGTAATGACTAGTATACTCGGATGTACTCGGCAGCGGTGGCAAAGGAGAGGACTTGATGCAACGACAATGACGATACCAGTCGTGTCGTGATGTAACTAATCGGAACATGTAGGATTTCGCTATGCGTTTCATGAACCTTCGAGACTGCCTGGGCACAAGTCTCCGCGAACCGCAGCGTCTGCAACGATTCCTGTCAAGCAAAAGCAGCATGAAAAGAGCATGCCAAATTGACAATCAATCCATTCTATCGATTGCTTCCCGAGTACGAATCAGGCTGATACTGTCCAGGCGTCCTCGGCATGGGCAGGATCCATAGTCGCAGTGGTGATTATCAAGGTTCGTGCCTGTGAACAACGCAAGGCATGCGAATGTGAAGCGGAAGGAAGGATATGGCATGAGTTGCTTATGGACGGAGCCATTTCATTCGTGACGGGGCTATGCGGCATGCGGCGAAGTTTGAGGCGTCCGCCGAGCCACCCAAAGCTTCCCGGAGCAGCATCCTGGCACGGACAGTTTAAAAGGCACATGCCTGAAGTAGGGATATCAAACACTCACCAATATTCCAAATGAGCGCTATATATCCTGATGTAGACCCTGCTTCACATCAAAGGATGTGCACACGAACAAGACCAAGTTCTCAGATGCCGCTTTTAATCCCGCACTATCGCTAAAGTTTGGGGCGCAGCATCGAGGCGATGCCCTTCTTCATTGGTGTGATCCAGAGTTGGGTTTAGCACGACCTGCACCTCGCATTGCCCTTCGATCTTGATCATGTCCCGTGTGTTCAGAGGTATGGTACAGCGAAGCAATGGTGGCAGGAAGGCGTAAGCTTTGAGTCCTGATAGGGAACGTATGGAAGCCTTGGCTGCGTGCACTGATCGGAATATCTTTGAGCTACGAGTTCCTTGATCTGATGGCATCCTGCATGCGGCACAGCATTCTCTGCTTACGACTCATGTGCACGTGCCCACCCGCAAATTGCGAACTCGCGAAGAAGGACCTGGCGCATGGGAAGGCACTCCTTCAGCAGCCATGCGAGAGCGCCTCTGGCAGCGATGCAAACAACCCAGGGTTCTGGCAGTTCCTAGAGCCCACTGCCAACAAGTTTCACTTAAGCCCCTCGTGTCTTCTGTGCGAGCTGCCCTCCGGCCTGTGGAGGACCTCGATGACACTTTTGAGGGAGAAGAGGCCCTGCAGGCGATGGAACTACGACAGCTCGTGGGCGCTGTGCTGGGCAGGGAGCTCAGCTTGGCAGCACCATGCAGCACCGACCTTGTTGATGTTCATTGTTTCTTGGAGCCTCTGTCGATGGAGATAGAACTCTTGCCACGAGATGCGGCTCCTGCCATGTGACATACAAACGAAACCCAATCCTAAGTGCACGAGGCTTGGCCGAGATGGGTTCATGCTGTCGCACTGCGGAGAAGTGTCCGACGTTGGAGGAAAGAATTCAAGCTGTATGTACTTCAGATATGTCCTTAGTATGTTACTTCTCTACTCACTTCTGACTTCTGCTGTTCCCACTTCCATGGGCGAATATGACGAACTAACCATACATGGCTGCAAGACGTGTTGTTAACCAGCTCCGGCCATCTAATCTAGGCCATCGTGAGCCTGGCTCATACCAAATATGGCAGACATGGACTCACTTAAGCCAGCTGAACCAAACATGGAGTGCAAATGAAGTCAGTTCAAACACAGCCAATGCTGTCCAGAACGAAGGCAACATGATGAGATATGATCAGTCGATCCGTCGTTCTGACTTGTCTCCGAGCATGGTGAATCTTGCGAATGGCAGTATTGCAGCGACATGCAAGTTGTGCAACAGAACAAACGGGACAGTCCATCCACAAGTCCTCCTCTCATCCTCGCCTCTCATGTCTCTCTCACAAATCACCAACCGTCTTCCCGAATCAATAACATCCAATAAACACGTGCATAGGGCCAATGCTCTTCCTAGCCCGATCTGCCTGGCTCAAGCACGATTTTGAGGCCTTGCTTACACTTTGGTGACTCGTGTATATGCAGCTGTCAGAGCTTTCCGGTGTAGCTCATGGTCACGGCAGGGACAAGCTTCGTTCCCCGGGCTTCAAGCTTCGAGCCTTACTGAGGCTCGAATCCTTTTCATGCAGCTTTTCAAATCCAAATGCCCCGAATCAGTTGGACGGGGGACGGGCGGGTGATTGTTGAAAGACCAGGAACTTGCATTGCACTCTCAGGCTACAGGGATGTCCATAGCGCGGCTGATCGAGCAGCAGCCCCTTCTTCCCGAGAGCAATTCGCGGGAGGCACTGCTCCTCACCGCCGACCACCGTCACAGGAGCCTCTGCAGCTTCACAACCCGAGCCTGAAACTTGGTTTCAGCACTGCGATCGTCAGACTTGGTCAGCTACCAGAATTGGACTCGTTGCTTATCGTCCTGTTGCAAGGCAGAGACCGGCAAGGTGCAAAGTCACATCAACTCTCGGCACTAGTTTCCAGGTCCGTCCAGGCTGCTCTCAGGCGAGAATTCAGGACTCTGATGCTGAATATGAGTCGACCAACCACAGGAGTATGCAAATCTGTGCCATCACAATACACCCGTTTCGGGACGGACAAGAGCCCATTGGTTGTGCATCCCACAGCGCAAACTGCTTCCAGACAGGCCTTAGCCGATTCCACCTTACTCTTTGCCAGCTGCTCGGATCCACCAAGATCAGCGAAGTAGAAACGACTCCTGATTGGGCTTTACTCTCCGTGGGGCATCGGGCTTACCATGGGCCAACCGGTGCGATACCCTGAAGAGGCTGCAAACAGCTGAACAAGCACATGGAACTGGTGCCAATAAGTGCCAAGCACACGAGCAGCATGTGGCCGAGTCAAAGGCACGGGATTTTAGGTTTTGTTACGTCTATGTGGACAACATTGCAGTAGCCTGCAGTATTCTTTCCGACCCGGCTTCTGAATGCGCAACGGATCATAGTGCTCCCCCAGCAATCTTGCATGCTGATAGCACCATGACATGCTCAGCGCAGGCTGCACGTGCTTATGCTTGGGAGCAAGCCAGCTTCTGCAGCATTAAGGACACGAAACGATTGACCATGGGGCTCTCAAATCTTCGTTGCTGCATGTTGCTGCAATGCATACTGCATCGCCTCCGAGCGGGCAGCTGCAGGTCACCTCGCAAGGCTACACGAATCTAGGATAATCTAGGCAGGAACCTCTTCTCGTTCCATTGCTGGCGTGTTTGCCCAAGGAACTCTCGCATTCCCACCGTTCTCGGCCTTCGCAGGACTTTCGCTGTCGTCGCTGCACCGACAGGGAAAGGACAAACACAGTGTGCGCTCGAGTGGACCTGCGCAGTTCAAACGAATCGCTAGACACTCACTCACTCCTCATTGCAGCTTCCACCGCTCCGATGCTTTTGCTCCCATGCAGCGACAGGCCAGAGTGTTTGCATGCAGCCTTTGGAGCTGCCTCCTGTCTCACATGCTGCCAAGTCGAAGTTCTTGTCAGCTGCCTCTCGTTCATGGCGGTGGCGGCACGGCGCTTGGCCACTTCACCGTGTTGCAGGAGCTCGTAGACCTCCTCCAGAGACCTTAGATGTGATCGGTCTGTAAGGCCTGAGGGCGGGAACGGGAGCAAGCGTGTACAGGAGGAAGGGAGAGGGAAAGTGAGAGAAGCTAGAAGATAGCAAGTGAGCGAGAGAAAGTCCCGGCGAGAACCAGGACAAGGAGTGGTGGGATGGTCACAGAGGCAGGGCCATTGAAAACAAACAATTTGTGATGCCTGTGCTCTAGTATGCTCTAGTGATTGTTCACAATGGAAGCATCAAAGTTGCAGATTCGGTCCAGCCCGAAACGTATGTGTCTTGCAGCTGCCAGGAAAGCAACAGCTGGTAGCACGAGCTGAGACTTCAGCTCGATGTGGCATTCTGTGTGCCCGTCTAAGACATACCTGTGAGTTGAAGGAATGCATCCCTATGCATGCCTATCGGTCTTAACTCTGCGAGACCCGAGAAACGCAGCTCAAGCACAGCTCTGTCCAACAACCTACCTTTCAGCCAGGACCTTTCACCGTGGGTCAGTTCCACTTAGCCTGCCCGTTTCAGCAGTGGACAAGAAACATTCTGAGGCGAGTGTTCGATTCATCTCATTGCCTCGAAATGGGTTTGGGAAAGCTCTCGAATGCAGAATCAAAGATCGGTTAAGGCAATCCGCAACAAACGCCCAGAGTAGCATGGGGCATGAACCTCACAATATGCAACGAACAAAGTGTGATTTGCGAGTCTATCTTACGGAGGACGTGAGAACTTTCCACCCGAATCATTCCGCGCCTGTGCCCGACGCGGTCTGTAGCACGAACTGCTGCATAACGGCCATGTCTGCCCTGCCCCACAACCTGAAGATGAAGGTGCCGATGCGAGTCGAGTTTCACATCCATCAATCCTGCATGCTCAATTACTTATGGCCTCGACCACTGCCTGCCCAATCAACAAAGATCGGGTCCTATGAGGATTCACCGACAAAGACACAGAGTCGCGGAGAGAGCGAGCGAGAGAGAGAGTATCCGGCCGACCGAAGGCACATTGATTGACATGCACACGGAGTAGCAAACACAGCGCTCTGGAGGATCGAAGGATAAGATAGGCTGAAGTCTTACTTGTAATCACTACTTGTACTTGGCAGTGTTGGGAGCTTGATTTGCCTAAACCTGCTCGACAGCGATTTATCTGCTGTTGGACACCGCTGCCTGGCCATCCCGCAGGAGGTCCGAGACCTGGAACACGTGGTGCACGCTTCATGTGCTGTCAGGTAGTCCTCAAACGGGCTCTCACTGCCAGAATACTTCAGACTGTACCTGCATCCTTGGCAAGCCAACTGCAACTGACTCATCTGGCCTCGCTGCCGAAGAGCTCGACATAGCTTGCAGACAGCTGGACCTGGTTCATTGCCAGAGATCAGAAATGCGATTGTGTGATGTTGCATGTCGGCCAGGCATGGCCCGCCATGGAATCTTAGGCGTGTCACTCCACTGCGCCTCAATGCCTCGCTGGCGCCAGATCTCCACGGTCCGCAAAACCTCCCGGACTTCGATATTGAAGGAGAGAAGATTCCTGATTGAAAATGGAAGCTCCTCGTGGAGCCAACCTAAACGCAAACGTGCTCGGGAGCCATTGCAAACACAAACTCGCTTGTCTCGTGAGTGTGTATTCGTGTGGACTTGCCACTCTCGGTTTGCGGTAGGTTCTCCTTTCAGGAGGATCGAGGCCTCTGAGAGGCCATCTTTCCAATGGTCCGTTCCTTGAGGACTCGAGGAACTGAAGTACCTCATGGGACCTAGCCGTGATTATCCAGGCCCCACTCGGGGACCTGCGAAGACTGTCAACAAGACCTTGTCCAGCATGACTGGCATCATCCAAACTTAGACTGTCGGTCCCTTTTCGTCGCCGGCACCTCAGCGCAGGTTCTTGGAACCAAACCTCAGCCGCTTTGTGGGTCATGGACTCTACAGGTATGCATCAGAAGCCTGTCAGACTGCCAAACTGCTTGACCTTGGTTTTCCTGGAGCCACTACACCTCGCTGTCAACCATCTTATTCTCAGATGGAAGCCCTGCAGTTCCGGTGACGTCGTCGGAAGCGCTTTCTGTGGCCTGGCAATTGTACTGAAGTATTTATGCTTTTATGTATGATCTCTCTTCTTGCAGGCTTAAGCGGCGAGTCAAGCCCCCCGAGCATCAAGCCCGGTCTCTCTCCCACAGTATTGCTGTGATGGGCTTGGACTGTAGTTACACGGACAGTGGGTGCCCGGAACGAGAGAGTCGGGTGGCCCGGAATTAAAACACACAGGAGCCAGAAGTTGCAGGTCCCGATCTCTTCCACCCTGAAACCTGGTATCGCAATGCCTCACAGTTGCCCATGCGCAGCTCAGCACAGGACCATTCAGCTGGTAGCATCTTGTACAAAGGCAAGTCTTCAGGTGCCCCAGCAGTTTAGAAATAAAGCATGAGCCTTTCGGGTGGTGGGCCTCTCAACCCAGGTGTCCCCACAAGGGCATCTCGAGTGCATACAGCTACGCTCGCTTGCTCCCTCGCTCTCTTCAGTTCACTTCACTTCACTTCGGGGTTCAGGAGGCGTGTCAGGCCCCCCGCGCCGAGACGCGCGCCCCTGATTAGAGGCTTTAAGGGGCTACAACAGTCAAAGCTCGGAAAAAGATATGGTTCCCCCATCAGTGGAAAAGAAGACATAAAGATAAGGTTGCAAAGTGAGCATCCCCAGAAAGCAAAGTATGAGTTCACGTGTAGGATGGGTTCCCCCACATCTTTGCGAGCATGGCAAGTATGTACCGCTGGTTCCCCCTTTCTCTGCCGTGAGCTGTAGCGTCAGGGGCGGACATGCATTCAGGAAAGAACATGGGAAATAAGATACAGTGAGTAATGCAGCGGCTTGTCCCCCTAACCATGTGGCAGAAAGGAAGCGTCCTGGTTCTCTCCCCTGCGTGCTCCGGGACCAACATCTCCCTAGAAACAGTAAATAAAACAGTAACGATGACATGAGCAAGGCACGGTGGTGGAGAGCTGTCAAAGTGAGACGACAACTTCGGCATGCATCGTTTGGTAATGCTGCGTAGTACGTTGTAAGCGGTGAGGTTCCCCATTTCGGGCACGAAGATAATTGTAACTGCAGACAACATCAATAAACACAAAGAAATACTAAGAGAACCAAAACCTCGGGAGGGGCCTCTTCCGCTCTTTACTGCTAAAAGGATCTCCTTGGGGCATCAGACTGAGAGAAGGCTAACCGACAAGTGGACACACTAGTGAATCCCCCTGAACATTGGAGATCCCCCGAGCCTAAGCTGTCACTGCCGGCAAGCTTTCAGAAGTACTCGTGAATGTGCTCGGCCAGGGCACGTCGTCGGCGATGGGATGCATCCGACAGGTCATCTGCATCCCCCTCGGCGTCATTCTCCATCTGCGTTTGCTGTTCTGCACGTGCTGCATCCCCCATACCATGGTGCCTGTCTTGAGCCCACCATGGTTGCGCAGAGCCTGTAGCACCGGTTCCCCCGCTGCCGGAGGTCAGTAGAGCCGAGTTCTGGTGCAGCAGCTCTAAGAGTCTTGTTTGGACGTCGCGTCGTACTGCATTCCCCCAGGATGGGAGTTCCGCACGAAGTTGGTGGAGCGAGACCTCGTAGTTCACCACGTCTGCAGATCGGTCTTGCTCCAATGCCGTTCCCCCTTCTGTGGCATCGAGGAGGGCTTGAAGCGAGAGGCACACATCAAGTAGTTGGCGCCAGTCGTCTTCTTCCATGGCGGCGCTCCCCCCAGCGATCTTGAGGAGCAACTCGCGGAGCAAGCGCATAAGGGATGGGATCCCCCTCTCGGCAATCCATTCCCCTGCGAGGCGCTGTAGCCATTGCACAAGTGAATCTATGCATGGAGTGAACTCATCATGGCATATGTTTGCATGGGCATGCTGCGAGAGTTGCATGCGGGCAAGGTCCGCCATCCGGCGAACGGCATAAGTCGCCGTCATCTTCCCCGGGGGGGGGTTGCGCCTTTTGGGGAGACGTTCAGCGTCTTCCCCCTGTGTGCTCCCCCTGTCTGTTATGTCTGCGGAGACTGCTGCGATGTGTGCATCTGCATCAGAGTAGAGGAGGACATCCACAAGCGCACTGTCTGCAATGTCTTGTATGGGTCTTCCCCCTGGCAGGTGTTCGGAGAGGCGCCGGATGGCGATGAGGTGTGTTTCCAGTTGCTGCCAGATTGGTTTCCCCTCCGTGGGGAGGTAAGAGTGCGGTGGTGGATATATGTGGTTGTTCACCGCGGTTGCCTGTCCAGGCAATACCAGGGTAGTGTGGTCGCTTGCTGTGATCGTAAGTGGGGTTGTGTGGGTGTCGGTTGCTTGTGGCTCGTTAGGTTGGTGGTAGCTTGCTGTGGCAGGTGTTTGTGGAATGGTGGTGGCTGTTTGTTGCAGATTGCCTGCAGCTGTGGGTGGGTGAGGTGCTGTTGTGTCTCCCCCGGATCTCGGTGGTTCTACGGCCCGGCTCGTTGGGCGGGCTCGCTGGATCTCCCTCTGCATCAGGTGGCTGGCATCATGGTCTGGTGTTGGTGGGGACGGCGATGGGCTGGGGTTGGGCTTGTTTCTGCCGCCAATGTCTCGCTTGTCCTTAGCGAGAACATAGAAGTGGACATCGTCCGTGGGGGATGGCGCGGTGGGGTGCTGGCTGTGCGTGGCACTGTCGGGTAGTCGCTGTTGCTGTCCTCTGCGGGGCTGTCTGCCCTCCCGGAGGGGGTGTGTGTCCTGTGGTTCGTGTGCTTGCTGTGGTTGGGGGTGCTGCTGGTGTTGTTCCCCCGTAGTCGTGTCAGGCACAGGCTCGGTTTTGCTCCTGACGGTGTCGTAGAAGGTCTGTTTGGCTGCTGCAGCTGCGTGCTTGGGGCTGCTGCTGGTTGGAGTGTGGGAGGAGTCTGGTGCAGCCGCTCTGGGAGGCGGGTCCGTGGAAGACCGGGCTGTGTGGTTGCGTTGTTGGCTGGCGGGCTGTGTGTGCTGCGTCTGTGGCTGGGCCGGTGGTGTTGGCTTGGAGTTATCGGCATGGGTGGTCGTAGACGAGGCGCTCCCCCGACCTCGTTGTCTTCGTGCAACTTGTTGTCGTGCTTGCTGTATCTCGGGGGAGCTTGTGGCACTGTATTGCTCAAGCTCCATGTACCAGTGCCCTGCTTTCCCCCTTCCGAAGGACAGTTTGTCCCCCTCTGCTAAAATGAAGCTGCCGGGTTCATGGTTGTGTGCCGTCGGAGCTTCCACCACAAACCCATACTATAGCGTGCTGCCGACCTGGGAGAAGCGGATGCGCGTGCCCGCGCTGAACGGGGGTGCTGTGTCAGCGGGGCCACGATCCCCCTGCATGGCCACATGTAGGCCGGTGGTAGGGTCGGTTTGTGGATTTTCGTCCCCCATATCAGGGATGTAGTCTGGGTGGTACTGCACGACGGTTTCCCAACAGCCATGTGTGAGTTGGTACATCGTGTAGGCCGCGTTGGGGGAAACTTGTATGTGCGGCGGGTAGTTGAGTGCTTCATCTTGTCGGTCAGGGATGCTGTGATTTGCTGAGTCGGCGGCTGGTGTCGTGGCGTGGGCGCCGGCAGGTTGCGAGGTGCGGCCGCATGCGCCCGGGTCATGGGTTGGTGCGCCTTGCTGCTGGTTGGCTGGCCTGTGCGGTGCGCCGGGTTCGCTGCTGGTTCTGGCTTCCCATTCGTCCCGGGCCTGGTTGGCGGCTTTCTCCCCCGTCGTGTCTGCGTGTGTGTCGGTGTGGGGCTGCGTGTGGTCGTTCCATGTATGGTCCCCGTTCGATGTATTCGAGCTTTCCGTGGGTGACGACTGGCTGCTGCTGCTGTTGTCACTGCTGGTGACTCCCCCTGCTTCTGGGGTCGTCGGGTGGTCTTGTGCGAATTGGTATCCCCAGCCTGGCCCTTCTTGTGGCTGGGGAGGGGGCCTGCGTAGCTGGCGGTTGCTTCGGTGCAGCTGCTTGAAGGTGTATTTGCCACGTTTATTGGCTACTCTCTGTGAGCCGTGGCCAGCTGTAGCCTCTCGGGATTGCCATGAATCCCCGTGCGGGTGACTATGGCGGCTGCTTCCCCCGGGCTGAGGGCGCTGTGTGCGAATTCCACCCCATCCGGGAGTTTCCCAGGGTGGTCGGCGGGCAGCATGTGGTTGCTGTGTCGGGGTGGTCCCGCTGGTTGCGTCAGAGTGCGGTGGTTGTTGTGGAGGTGGTCTCTGCTGCTGTTCTACACCGGTCGTGTCGATGGGCTGGGGCTGGTGCTCCGTGGCAGCGGGCGCGGATCCGGACCACTCCATCTCGGGGGGGATTTCCCCCTGGTATGTGCCTGTCTGGCCTTCATACCATTCTCTTTGATTGCGGAGCTCTTGCTCTGTGAACATGCTTTGCTCGGGGTTGCTGCTGGCTGCCGCCACTCCCCCGCTGGTGCCTGCCTGTGTGTTGGGTGTGTTGGGCGTGTTCTGAAGCAAATGCTCATCCCACGGAGGCAGCGAGGGCGGGTCGTCGATGTCTGTGGGATTGGTTTGCGTTGGAGGGGGCTGTGGCGTTTGGTGACTCTGGGTGTTGTGTGGTCTTGCTTGTGGTTGTTCACGGTCAGGCTGCTGCAGTGCTGCTGGCGTGGCTCCGGTGTCACACGGGGTGGCCGGTGTTGTATCCTCCTCATGGCGCGGCGAGGAGTAGGGGGTGTTCCACGGGTCATCGTCGGGGTTATATGGCTTGGCATATCCCATTCTGTAGAAGGGCCCTGCTGGGACCGTGTGTGGTGGTTGTCCTTGAGCTGTGGGGTCCCCCCTTGCAGAGGTGGGGGGGGTGGGGATGTCCCAAGCTGACTGTGGAAAGTGCGTTGCCTGGGCTGTGGCACCGTGGTTGGTTGTTGGTTGGTAGGCCGGCTGTGTGGGAGTCTGTGGCTGTGGTGGTGCTGTGCTGGAGCTGGCTTGTCGTGGCTGCTGCATCGGTGGTGGCATCTGCTGGTTTTGTATTTGGTATGCTGGAGGTGGGAAATACACCTGCGTATGTCCCCCTTGTTGAAATGCTGTGGCTGGCGTCATGGAGTATCCACCCCACGTGGTGTATGGCACTCCCTGGGGGGTGACGTGGGTGGATTGCCAGGTAAGCTGCGTCGGCGGTGCAACGTTCGGGTCTTGCATCCAGTGTGGCATCCAGGGTGCCGGTGGTATTCCCCCTGGGAGCGGTGCTTGCTGCGTCGTCGCTGCTGGCGCATGTGGCTGCTGCGGAGACTGCGGTGGTTGGGGCGAGTTGCCGCTGTTGCTGTTGGCATGGTGGGCTGTCCCCCCTGGTCCGCCCTGGGGTGGGGTGCCGCCACCGTTCCCCGCCAGACTGGTGAAGACGAGGACGACAGCTTTCATATCGATCATCCTTCTGTTTGCCTCTGCGTAGGCGTACTTGGTGTAGCTCGGAGATCAGTACAGATCGAAAGCTCTCTGTTCAGCACAAGGTTACGTAAGTAGGAGGAGAATGTAGGTACCCGTTGACAACGACATGATGTTCGAGCCAAGGAGCGCGCGGTAGATCAGGTTGATCACGTTCAAACAAGATCCCCCTGTTATTCAGCTTGATCGCATTCTCGGAGATCTCTGCAGCACTACTGGGGCGTGGCGGGCATTCTGTAGGAGCATGAGTTGTGGCGTATGTTGGGCAACTAGTTGTTCGTCGTCTTGCAGAACAGGAACGCCAAGAACTTGCACACAGTCACATGGTTGCAGCTCTCTTCTGTCTTTTCAACTCTACTACGCGGAGAGGCTCCTCGATCTTGGTCCCCCTATAGGCTGCAAATCCGAAGAGGGCTGTTCCGCTCTCTGCGTCATCATGCAGTCGGAGGTGGGAGGGGAGCAGGCTCATCTTCCCTGTTCTCCGGGCTAGTACTTCTGTGCGTCGCTAAGTTCGCGATACTTGTCTGTCGTCCTGATGCCCATGGTACATCATACTTGTTTAGCCATGTCTGCATGAGTCCCGACCACTGGCTTCTGTCCAAAGCAATGGTGTGCCAATTCTCCCCCGCTAATCCCCGCTACAGAGGTAACTTGCCGGTCGATGTCCATGTATGCGTTGAAGCGCCCCGCATGCCGGATGTTGCCGTACGGCGGTCGGTTGGCATTCCACCATGCTAGGCATCTCCATCGGAGGAGTTGTCCCCCGACGGGGTCTCCCCTGCACATATGGCCCAGCAGTCCCCAGATCTGTTCAAGGATGAATGTGGACCATCTACTGGCTGCAGGGTGCTTCTTGGTGATCCCATGGCGGAAGAGTATCCCCCTGGTTCGTCGCAGAGTGCGTTGATTCCAGGTGGCCCAATCCTCGCCATCCCCCCTTCGCATCCCCGACATATCTCTGATATGAGCAAGTTGGATGGAGTTCGCTTGCTTCAATATTTGTGCGTGGCACGGCCACGTGGCGCAGCCCCATAGGGCTGATTGGCGTACCAACATCGTATGCAAAATCATCTTTTTTGAAATCGGAGCCTTTGCCATTAACTCCCCCCGGTGCGTCCAGAAGGCTTGTCTCCCCCTGGTCTGCATCGCCGCTATAACGATGGCAGGCGTGAGGTGGAATGCCATGGGGCTCCCCAGGACGGTCATGATGTGGTCCTTCCCCTTCGTCTGAACGTCCTTGCCGGCAACCTTGAAGGTGGTCTGCGTCTTATTGCTGATGATGTCGACTTTCCTCGCTCTCTCTCGCTCACTCACCGCACATGAGTTAGGCGGGATTCGGCAGGATCCGTCGGAAAGTCTTGGAAATGCTGGCCGGCTGGACGGCCCGAACATGGTGTGAGTCTTGCCGCTGGCAGTTTGCCCGTAGCAGATGATGCTCGCACCTTGTTGGATCGGTAGCTCAGCTTTCGCTGTACAGAATCACCGTGTCATATATAAGAGCCCCAGAGGGCGTTGCACTGCATCCAAGTTCCAAGCAAGGGAAGCCTGACGTGATTGGACATCATGCACAAACTGTCAGAGACTTGGTGCTGTACTCGTACCGTTCAAAAACTCCATGGCCTGCTGGTCGAGCAACATTGGAGGACAGTGGAGGCCCCTGTTTCACACTAGCGACTGCAAGAAAACAACGGCATTGAGTACGTCATATTCAAGCACCACACGAAGACCGAACGCTGGGGATCCGTGCCAAACGCCGCGCGGAGCCAGCAAATATGTCCGCCTGCTCCGCGCGCTCGCCTCAGCTTGCGTGGACAATCCGGCCTTCCAGGCTATGACACAGGCGTTGCAGGAGACAGGCTCAAGGCGTCAGAAGGCGTTTCATACCATTCCTCTTAACAACTGCAACTCACGGCTGAGGCGAAAGTCAAACGGCTCAGTGGGCCCATTCGCATATTTCACACTGGTATAAATTTTCTTTGGCTGATGATGTCTGTTGCCTCAGAGTCACTCTAGGTCGCTGTAACCACTCGTGGAGGTTCTGCTGAAGCTCTTGATGTACTGTGCTTCGCGAGGCGGTCGGCCCACATCAGACTGGTGGGAATCCAGTGAAAAGCACTTCCTAGAACCACCTTATGGATCGCTCGGATAGGGAAACGAGTTGGCATGAACATCCAGACACCTTCGTCGGTCTCGTGGCCAAGCGGTCTCTTGCACGAGTACAACTCCGTGCTCACAGCAAAGCCATGAAGTTCACTTCCCGCCGCGAGGCGAAAGTCAAGCGGCTCAGTGAGCCCACTCGGGAGAAAAGCCAGTGGAAGGAGGCAACTGATCACATGTGCCAACAGAGTGTGCAAAGACATGCGCATATTTCACAATTCCAGATTGGAGGTGTCCATCCCTTTGGGATTCCAGCCGAAGACGCGGTCAAAGGTGTACTCGCGAAGCCTCATGCAAGGGCCAGGGATTAAAGGGCATGCGTCGGCAGCAGGTGCTGTGGTGAGACCCACCGTGGAACCCACAAAGGTAGAAGCAGTTTGCTTCCCGCAAGTGGTTCACTGGCAGTTTCACTGAGCCAGGCACCCACTCTGCTTTGTGAGGGCGAGCAAAGAGGCTTTCTCCTTGTGGGCTCGCGCGAGCTTGTCGGACTGCTTAAGTACGGTTTGAGTTCTGGATGAGTCTCTAGGTTGGCCCTGCACTTGAAGCCGTTGAGGAGTTCCGGTCACAGGGTTGGCTTCCGAAAACGCAAGGCTCAGCCGAAAGTTATCGCATCCCGAGATAGATGATATTTGCACAAGAGGTGTGGTAACGCTACGGGTCACCATGAGGTTCTACGAGCTTCTTTGCCACGACAGCGAGTGGCAGGCACCAGCCTGCCGGGTTTATTATACGTCCACTACCTGTTGAATCGCGCTCCCATTCGGCCGTGTCGTGTGTGGTCTTAAAACCCCGTAGTTCCAAGCCACAGTGCCTGTCACACTTGGGTGGGACTCCAGCTTCCGCCTTCAAAAGTCGTATTCTGAGCACTTCCTCCTCCCGATGTTGATCGTGCTTTTGGGCCAGTGACAGTGCTCCCGCCACAGTGGCGTGAATGCATTTTGGACTCATGGCGTAGCTTTGGGATTCACAACTATACTCCAGGAAAGGCTCTATGATGTTGTATGATGTTGTGTGCAAAGGGCTTGAACTCTACAATAGATGCACCTTCACTGTTTGGGATCTGGACTGGCATGACGGAACGGACGGTCCGATATCGTCCGATGCAACTGACATGAACTAACTTGCAGCTCCAAGCATGGCCTCCTGAACTGCTAGAATGGAGCAGCGGGCATCTGCCAAATCCTGCCAAGAGGACTGCAGCTGACGAACAGGAGTCGGAGTCGGACATGGTTTGTGCTGTGCTGTGTTTTACACTTCAAGCGTTCAGCGCCATTTTGGAGAGCCACTGCAAGGCTGCACTAGACCACCCGAGAAATTTGCCAACGGAGACAGTCTCTGCGATGCCTTCGTGGCCTCATCTTCCCATTGTGTCTTCTGATTCACCTGGCGAACGTGGAAAAGCTTGCAGAGTCCTGCATTTGGCCAACGAAACCCGCATGAACAGGACTCGACTGCAGTCAACTTCTATGGCCTCGCCAGAGGCTGTGGGGACATTCTCCTGGTCGGTCAAAATGCTCAATGTCGCTGTTGCTTGCATCGTGCATGAAACGACGAAACGACAGCCATGTGCCACTCCACCAGCCTCTCAAAGACAAGCTCCTTTCAGAGTGAGAGTCAGGACCCAACCCTTGCCCTTGCCTTGTTTGCGTAACCAAGGTGCTGACAGGGCTGGAAGATGCCACCTTGGCAGCATTTAGCACGTCAGTGTGGCTAGGGCCCTGCAGTGCTTTGAGTGCCGTGTGCCAGGCCCAGGCCCAGCTCTGCAGGCGGATCTTGGCCACCTTTGAGCTGTCAGGAAACTCCCATGAGCGACAAGTCACGCAGCGAAACTAAGGTGCGAGCCATTCTTCAAGCGCTGCTGCTTGCGCATGATAAGGCCTCAGGGCTCTGCACTTCCAGCCACTGTGCTTCTGACAACCCTGCGAAACAGCCACCACGCCGTCCATGGTCCATCAATCATTTCACACCACCGCAGCCATCCCTCCGGCACTCACCATGACTACGCACAACTTGCAAAACTTGCCACACAAACAAACACACCACATCTCTGATGTCCATCCCGATGCCGCGAACGCATCTCGCGGCGACTACTTTGACGCACCTCTGTAAAATGTGAGCAGCGCACGACTTGAAAAAACACGTCGTAGACTATCTCGAAATGATAACGGAACACATCGGAAGCGTGGCGCATCATGACAACACAGGCCATAGCACGTACGAGTTGCAGAACACAACATGCATTATTCGCCTCGGCCCCGGCCGAAGCGGTCAGAGGTTCCCACACTCTTAATCCCGTCCTCAATGAACCACCCCCCCGTTATCGAAGCCCACCCCACCTTAAAATTGGTTTCCGAATTGGCAAGCGGTGTCGAGAAATTTTGTTGGCGGAGACTGGGGCTTGTCGGGATTTCCCAATTGTCGCTTTTCATCCCCCTCCCCGCCCCGCTTCGCCCCACCTCCGCCTCCCCCCCTTCTGTTCTAAAATCCTGAACGCCCCCAGGCGGTCAGGACTTACAGTCATGTCATGTACTTGCAGCAATGGCATACCACTTGCATTTATGCGCCGTAACCGTTTCTGTTTCAAGTGGTTTCAAGACACTAGCTCTCTCGGCGTGTAGCAAAACCAAAAGTGTTGTCCGCATGCAAGGGCAAACCTTTAGATCCTCAGGGATCATACCTGCCCTATCTAGAGTCTGTTTGTGAGTGTTCTACAATCCCTGACGCCCCCAGGGGGTCAGGACTTACAGTCATGTCACGTACCTGCAGCGATGGCATAAAACTTGCATGTATGCGCCGTAACCGTTTCTGTCTCAAGTGGCTTCAATAAACTAGCTCTGTCTGCGTGTAGCAAAACCAGCTATGTTGTCCGCGTGCAAGGGCAAGCCTTTAGATCCTCAGGGATCATACCTGCGGGATATTTGGGGGCACCCCGCCCCGCTCCCTCCCCGCCTCTTCCTTTTCCCCCTTCCCTTGTCTCTTCCTTGCGGCGGGCGAAACAAGACAGGCTAGCTTACATCATCTGTGAAGTTGATGCCCAGGCCTGGGAACTCTGGGGTCTGGGGCTGTGTCTTGAACTTCGTTGCAAAGCTTGATTCCCCATTCCCCTTCCAACATCTTCCAACACATGGGAGGTTGCAGTGAGAGGCGTAATACGATCTTCATAGTAACGTCAAAAAAATGCAGGGATGTGCAACCATTCGCGTGGGATTCTTGCTCAGAGCCTCAGCATGAAAACGAATACTGACTTTAAGAACACATTCTACAGCAAATGCACTCCTTCACGCAGACCTCGCCTGTGTGGCCTACCTGTTGCTTTCCGAAACAATGCAACTGCTTCAAGCACAGTCAGGCCGAGGCGCAGGACGCGAAGCGCTTAAAATTATCACAGCACCGAGTAGTGTTACATATGAAGATTCAAGATACCCGATGTGAATGCCGTGTTCATCCGTGTTCCTAATACGTATTTGACGTGGATGTGTGGCGCGTCGACAGCGTCATTACGCGTTCAGCTATTGCTCTTGCGGCGAATGGCAGAGCTTGCTGGTGCTGCTTCATATAATAGTGATGTCAGAAACATGAATGCAACGACGCACCACAACGAAATGAAATGCATTGCACATTGGACAATACTGCTGACATGGCCTCATATAAGCTGGGCCGGCAATACGCGGTGGTCGTGGCGGCCAATGAAGCTTAACATGCTGCCTTGAAGTCCCCCACGGAGCGAAGGCCTATTATTGGTAAGATAGTTAACGCGGCAAACACGCGTCGAGACACAGAGTTCTCCCATATTTTGAGATGTTTGAGAAACGGACCCAAGGCTTCTTTCGATGAGCCTGGCAGGCAATGCCAAACCAAGCGATGGTAACACAAAAAACAGCAACCCTATCACCAAAAACAGCTGACGCATGTGTAGCCAGATGTCGTAACGTCTTATTGCCTGTGAAGCAGGCCGCGGTAATGACTTTTCGTTACCTCAATACGCATTCCTGCAACCCCCAAGACTCAGCCAGCAAGGCATCCCAGCTGCTTTTTTACCAGCTGCACCTGTCTGGAGGGGGTCGGTGCGGCCACGACCAGCGTAATGACAGTGGAGACATGTAGAGACCACCTGGGCCTTATGCGAAGTCACATGAAGAATGAGAATACAGCCAAGCAGGTCGCTATCACTGCCTCAACCCTGGATCGAGATTTGGCATCCCGAACAATCCCGAACATCAAGCCCCAGCCCTGCATCATCAACAAAGCACTGTGTAGATTCAGATGGCAATCGGCCTAGTGCAGATGCAGCGAGTCTTGTCATTGCATGTCGCACACTTGAGAATCGAAACCCTTCGAAACCGACACTGCGAAGGATCTTCGATGGTGGTTCAGAACTTGCAGCAACCACAACAAATGCTCGGCAGGGAATCCTACGGCGGCAGAAGCACATTTCACTGCAGACCAACCAGGATGCCCGACTTGGCGAGGCTGTCACTTCAGCATCTGACATGAGAACTCATACAACCAGTTACAGTCTTTGGGCAAGGAGCAGCCGTGTTCAAAGGCAGACTGTGCATTTCTTTCTTTTTCTGCAGCAGAGTCTGCAGGAAAGCAGTTTACAAACTCACCTGAACCAAGCTCTCTGGCTCAGACAAACGTGGCCGCGCCTTGGCAAAAGTCCAGCGAATCGATCCTACGTCTGCTTGCAGTACGTACAGGTCATCTATTTCCTCAGCATTCTGACAGCCGCGAAGAAATCCAACTCTGAGGGTGTCACCGGTTTGTCCTCCTTCTCTTCGTCCGGCAGCTTGTGCCGAATAATTTCCTCGTCAAGACCACATTCACAGCTGAGCATCAACATCCTGAACTTCATCTGCCGAGTGTGACAGGATGGGGGAGAGGCTGCGCCGGTCATTGAAAACACAAGCGACCACATTCTTCAGAATCGTGTGGGAACGAACCCCTTCTCTGTGGCCTGTGGGGTCAGAATCAAGCCTCCAAGGTCCCAAACTGGACACCACCTGCTTACAAGCATGAGAGGCTTTTTGGCCCTGTGCCAAACCAATGCGAGACCTCTGCAGGGAAAAGATCTACAAAAACTCATGGGTGGATGCCACTATATCGAAAACGTGACAAGCGATACCACATGTCTCATGACGTGGGATGCTGAACTGCCAACGCGCTCGACTGTGAAACCCATGGAAACTTTCCGCCAAGCATCTTTTTGCGAATGCAGCACCAAAGACAACACCTCAAGTGCAAGGCGGGGACAGAAGGTGTTGCTTGCTGAAGCCGAGTCTAGCTGCAAGACTCCAACAGCTTGCGAGTCTGTCATAACGGCTCCTTGAACGGCCTTCTATACGAGCCTCTTGAAAATGCCGTTGAAGGAGGCTTTCTTGGCTGTTCATCCCATCTTCTGCCCTGCCCAGCTACCCTCCACTGCACCGTCCATGTTTGCTCTCGTACACACTCGTAAACGCGTAATAACCTCCACGGAAGAATGGATGCGAAACGATTTATTCCACCTCAGAACTGAGCACAGCTGACAAATCAACCTCAGCATCAACACGAAACATTGTCTCGGGCTTGCGCCACTTAGCAAGGAGCGCTTGACATCCCGAAGCCAAAGAGGCTTCCCGCAGAGAACACTTTTTCAACCACATCCAAACAGCCACTTTCTGTCGGCAAGGCCCTGGCCACATGCCGCAAGAGTTGCGAACTGAAGGAGATCGCAGCAAGCTCCTGGGCTGTGGCGGTTCTCCTGGATTGTTTTTGCTAAGAAACGCTTCGCACATCAGCTAAGCAGCTAAGAGTTGCAGCAAACGTGATTTGTGGTTCCATTTTCGCTACCCTATGCTGCAACCATGCACCTACATTGGGACAGTACGGTAGGTGGAGGCCGGGTGCTGCGAAGCCCAACACCAGCACCAGCACCATTCCCATCCCTGAAGAAACCTGTTGCCCTGTACACTGCGGTGGGGCTTCCATGTCGGAAGGTGCTTTGACTCCAGCTCTTGTAGACACCGGCGAGCGACCTTGGCCGCTATCTGCCCCAGGTATGAAGCTCAAGATTTGCTGAGCCCAGATTACCCTCACCCCCCTGTTTGCTCATGACCCTACACTCTGCAACACTTTTCTGTTCAAGGGCAGGGGTATGACACTACAGTCTCCATGTCTATGTGCACATATGCATGTACTTGTATTGCTCAGACTAGATTAGCTTTACAATGCTGCTGAAAGCCCGGCGGGGTGCATCAAAACAACTGCTGCGACAAATGGGGAATTTGGGAAGACTCGCTCCACCAGCAAAACGTGTAGGCCATGGCTTCAGGTTTATTGCAGAGGCAGTGTGGCTCTGGTCGAGTTCTGGCAGCTCTAAAGGAGAATATGTTGGACTGTTCGAATTGTACAGTCCAGATGGCCCCCCAGGATGCCTCCCTGCACGACAAATGCAAGTGGATCCTGGAGTCAGTTGTCAAGGACATTGCCGGGCAATAAAGAAGCTTGCAAATGGGTCGGGCAAAAAAAGGGGGGGCGTAGGGCTCCGACCAGCTAGGGGTTTCCGTTTCCCGTTCCACACCGACGCTACGGATGCTACTGCAGATTGTAGGACCTCGCCGCTGCAATAAACACATTGCTTTGATGTACGCCAACTTCCTCGGCAGGCACCAACATGTTCCTTCTCGGGCTTGTCCGGCGTCTTTCTAGTGTCTGGATGCAGTGGTAAACAGAGTGGTAAACCCTGTTGCCGCTAATGCCTGCAAGAGCATATTTGTGCTCAGTCGGCAGGGCACTCCGTGTTTCTCAGGCAGCACGTGGGCTATGAGGGCAGACACACAGAAGACTTCACAAGAACAAACATGCTCGCAACTTGCACAGGCAACTGCCAAGCTGCCACTGCTCGGAGTGGTGGAGGCACGGGCCCCGCCTCGCAGTTGGAGTACAAAGTTGCAGACAGGACTCAAAAGGGTACATGAACAAAAGTCATACTGTCGGGATTTCCCTACTCCTGACAGGTATCCTCTAACCGAAATGCTACTGTTTGGGCGGTGTCTGAATCCTCACGGCATGTGTGCAGCTCCTCTGCAAGGTGCTGTTGAACATCCAATCCGATTTGAGCGATGCAACCAACCCAGGGAAAGCGAAGACTGGCGGAATTCAGCAAGCTGGATCATGCAGTGAACTTCTGCAGCCTGATGGACTTGGTCCATCAGGGACGGCACGGCGAGTCATCCGTTTTGGCAGCGGCATCTGCGGCCGGAAAAATCCTGGCAATTCTGGCATGTGTTGAGGTGCGAGGTTTTCACGTGGTACATGCATTGCAGCGGCCTTGCGTTGCCAGATTGCTGCATGCTTCTCGCAGCTGCTCTTCTTCGAGTTCCAATGTCCTGGGCTCTTTAGTGTCAGGTCTGCACCCTCTCCGGTAAAGGTGTTGGCCGGGGATGGCAGGCCGAGGACCTTCGTGGGATCAAGGGTCCACGCAGTGTTTCGGGTCGAGCCCTTCTGCACACTTCGGGTCATGTAGCACTTGCAAGAACTGATTGAAACCAGACCGGTCGTTTGCTGAAGATCAGCTCAAGCTCTCGGCCAGGTCCACGATGTTCAAGACTTCGCAGTCTGCCTCTTGGCTACACATGGCCACATTCTTCACCTGAGATGGAGAAGTGCCATCACTCCATGCTATGACCGCCAATCTGCATCATTAAAGTGCTTGCTGATGCCGGCGGTGGAGGTCGTTCTGATGGAAGTTTTGCTGTTGATTGTCGGTCGTGGTGGTTGCATGGTGGCTGCGGCGGGGTTAGTATGCGGCGGCAGCGGTGGAGGGTGGTGGAGGAAGGGATCAGGAGGTGTGCGTTCTCGACATGTTGGACATACTCCAGTGACATACTCCCGGTTGAAACAACACAAGCGCCCCGAAAGAGCGATAACTTCTGACCCACCGTTTCTCGCAATGAAAGCCGGAGTACCAAGTCCTGTTGGTGGGGAAGCAGCTTCTCCCAGGAGGCCAAAGCAATTCCAATCAAAGACTCTGGATATTCCTGAGCTTTTTGAGGGACGGGAAGTCTTTGCTTGGTGTTTCTGGAAAGTCTGAAGGCCTGGCCTATTGACTTGCTCTGTGCTGGGAAAGGGACTCTGCACGATAGCATTTTACATCATTTTAGCGGGTTCTCTGTTGGTAGATACCGGCAGATTCAACTTCGGGCTTGCAGGCTGACCAATGTCTGCTGCGGAGTCTCCAGCTGTGACAGGTTCGCCTCATCGCCGTCGGAGAGCTCTAAGAATCCCTGCGGTGGGCGACTGGTGGTTTTTCGATCAGGGCAGGTCGCCACAGCCACAGTAAACAAGGCCATCTGCTCCCAAGCTGCGGGCCGCGCATGGCTTGGGGCCAGAAACCCGTGCCTATCTGGGCCGGCCTCTTCGGAAACCTGCACAGCTCCGCCCTGTCGTAATTCCTGGAGGACCACCTGCTGCTGAGCACGGTGCTACCAAAATTTGGGACCGCTCCAAGTGCCTCCCTAAATCTCAAGCAGGGCATTTTAAAGGAATGGAAAAAGTGGGGATCTCTCTCGAAGGAGCCTCACAACCTCGAGGATGGTCTTGGAGAGCTCTATGTCAAAAAAGCGGCTCTGACGCTGAAAGATCTGAAAGGAGCCTATGAAGGCAACTGCAGATTCGAGCATTTGCTGGCAAGCTTCCCCCCAGGATTTGTGCAGATAACACTCCATGCTGAAGATGTGTCGTGCACCCTTTGGATTTCGAGTCCCGGCTCATGCAGGCTGTTCTCCTCACTCCCTCCCGGTCTCCAAGAGCTTTCAAAGACCACCTCCACGCCGAAGGGGTTTCCGCCGGAGCTTTCCTGAGGGTTGAAGTTGGAGACAGTTCGGGTGGGCCTATTGGCTACTACACCGGCTTCTTGGGCTTGCTCATTCCGCAGAGAAGCCCGTACAAAAACACGCTTGGTAGTGCTTATATGTGCTCAAGGATGCTGACGCCGGAATAGCACGGCAGGCATCACGCTCAAGCGAAATCAACTCTGACATCTACACGACACTGATCCAAGGCTAATGCCGTCCAACTCTAATTTTCTAAGTACGGATGTGAAACACCGGAACGGTCCTGCCTGTCAGCTCTCTACAGGTAGATTCTGATGTGCTCGAGCCTAAGGAAGCGTTCCGCTGATCCAAACCTTGGAACCTTATATAGACAGAGACGAGATGCAAACACGTACTGAAGCAAGTCGGGTGCCACGCCGGCAGCTGCTTCGGTGATGTGCATAACATATTTCTCCGTCATGTCCTACAGCGTGCTGCGCAGGGGAAGGAAGAGTGCATGGTTTATACAATCGAAAATAGGCGTGCAACCCGCTGCAAGAGTTGTCTCGCAATACCTCCCTACAATGACCTCGAAAGCCTCAATAGCCAGGAAGAGATCACAATCACGGGTGCAGGTGGCCACCTCTCAGGCACACTGATTCACTAAGGTCTGGACGCGGGAGAGATTGCTTACCTCCACTTCGCCGTTCAGATTCCGCGAATTCAGGAAGAAGGCCTGATCAAGATGAACACGTGTGCATGAACGGTATTTGTAAACTTGCCAAGAACAAGCGACATGGCAGGGATGCTGTCCTTATTCTGTGGTGGCACGCAATGTATCGCAAAGTCGGTCTCGACTGTAGCTGCTGCAGCATCTAGGGTCTTGAGACGCCGGCATGCCCGACAGGCAGCGGAGCAAATCATATCCTCAACTCGCCACAAGCATGGTCGGCTGGCAAGGGCTCAAAGAATTGCTCAACCTTCTGGTTCGTCACCTCCGGTAAAGTTGCAGGCTGCCATTTCGGGTTCTGGTCTTTGTCCACTAGCACAGCACGAATGCCCTCACAGAAGTCGCTGTCAGGTGCCGGCCGCATGAACCACTGAGACAGGCGATACTCGGCGATGAAGGCTTCCCTTAAAGATACAGCTTGATGCCGGCGAAGAGCCTCCAAAGAGACCTTCACTGACAACGGGCTCTTGGAAAGCAGCGTCTTCAAAGTCTTTTGGGACCAGTTCGAGGAGTGGGACTCCAACCGCGCGACTATGTCCTCAGCTTTTCTAGACAAATCACCGAAGCAGTCCTCTATGGCGGCAGCGTTCGCCTCCACTTTTGCCTTGTCTGTTTCTGGGACTGCCCCTGCGGCCACTTCATGAATGGTTCTCGAGACATCTTGTATGCTCGCTTGTGATGATGTCAAGCTGGCCAGCTTCTCCTCCAGGAGCGGCAGCTTCTCCGCGGGGCAAAAGTGTGTAGCAAGGCCAGCATACAGGCAGTCTGCAGCGCCGAGGCGCTCGCCTGTGAGACCCAAGTACATGCCCACGTGGGCGCCAGCACGCAGTCGGCTCAATGCCCATGTTGCACCAACGTCTGGGAAAAGGCCGATGCCAGTTTCCGGCATTGCAAACAGGGTGTTCTCTGTCGCAACTCGGATCGGACTGTGCAATGAGAGGCCTACGCCGCCACCCATTACGATACCGTCCCAAAGAGATACCTGAACCACATTGTCTCGTTCAAAAAGAGTTGCTATTTGATAATCCAGTTCATACTCCTCTGAGAAGAAATCCGCAGGATAGCTCGTTCCTTCGATGACTCCCTGTCGCACTTCGGCAACATCGCCGCCAGCACACAGAGCTCGGCCCTCACCAGCAAGCAGCAAGTAACGAGCCCCAGTTGTTGGCAAATTTGCATACTTTTGCTTCAGATCCTTGATCATAGGAAGCGACAAAGAGTTCAGCTTTTCAGGACGCTGCAAAGTCAATTTGGCGATGTGGCCTAACGTCTGCAAGCTCACCAATTCTCTGCCACTCCCTTCCGAAAATGCACGCCAGCTGCATCGGAGCAAATGCCGATTGCTTGCGTGGGTGTGGGAGCTTCGCAGCAATCTTGGCAGAACACGTAGCATCAGGCTATGGCGGCTTTCAAGCAAGCGCGCTCAGCTGTCGGAGTGAGCGTACACGCACGTCTCGGCAAGGAAGCAAAACGATCTGTGGGCCCAAGCTGCAGAACGCATATAAACCTAAGCTAGCCGTGGTTCTTCAGCCGCGCCTTTTAGGATACAACTTACCAGACCTAATCTCTGGGCCCATGCTTGCACCCCCCGTGCCTGTGATTGCAAGATGGTATCCCGCGTCACAACGCACAGCATCACCTAGTTTTGGCAGTTTGGTGCCATGAAGAATTGACACGGAGCAGCACTGAACAACTCTGCAATGTTCTCTTAACGTGAACTGGACCCTCGAGCAACTTCGAGCATGTCAAGTCCCACAGGGGCCACGCCAAGTTACCGGCTTCTTCCCAGTCTCGCGGCGTTCCATGCACAAGTTCATGAGCCCCTCCACCTCGGCATGCTGTTGCAGCCATACCGCAGCCTTGTGCTACTAGAAGCAAAAGAGTCGTCATGAATTACGGCCGTTGCACGGCCCGGCAGGAAAATTTTCCGGCTTGAGCTTGGGCCATTCCTTCCGCCCGATACTGAAGGACAGCAGTCACTACGTGTGTTGGGAAGCGCAATACTGAAGGACAGCAGTTACTACGTGTGTGTGGGAAGCACAACTTTGAGTGCCAGTGGCTTTGACGATGGTGCACCCTACGAGGAACCACGACTGTCTTGCTGAACATACAAGTATCCCTGCCCTGAGCAGAAAATATCTCTTCGCAGAGGGGATGCATGGTGAAGGATAGGCGTGATTGCACGATTTGAACCAGGCATTGCCCAACACCGAAGAAGACCACTGACCGGGTTCCTGCTGCGACAGCTCAGGCTGATGCCAGATTGCCGTCGTAGTCCTTTGGCGAGTGCACTTGGCAAACTCGGGTCTTGACATGCGGGCAAAGATTTTTGAACAAAGCGGCCGTCGTCTCGCCGAAGAACGACGTCGAGCGCCGGAGATGAAGCCTGCCAACATTGCTTGGGCAAAAAAGAGCACAGCCACGCAGCCCATTTCGCCCAAAGACTGATCTTGACAGGGTGCAAGATGACGGTACCCTGGCTCTTCGTGGAGTGCGTTGTGAATGCGTCCACGAGCATCTTGCACAGAGTGACCACCTGCAGGCAGTTTGCGGTCGACATATGCAAACACATTCAGACAAAGTCGTCAAATGATCTGGCTCATGATTAGCTGCGTGTCAGTGCTGAGTCTGGCTGCATGAGATTATGCGGAACCTTCAGCGGGCGCGTCTTGGCGTGCAATGCATCGCGCTCGACCATGGCATTCACAACCTTAAGAGCGCAGCTGCCTCCAGGCCGACAGATGCTGCAGCACAGCTTCATGGCAAGCGGCGTTGGGCCCAAAGTAGAGTGCGGGGAAGACCAAGCGCAGCACTGGGAGCCATGCCTTCGGCAAAGAGCCGAACTTTGCCAGTGCTGCCGATTCCAGGCCCCAGTAACATGAAGAAGGCATCCACAGGCAGAGGTCTACTCTACGAATACTGTTTCTACAGGGCTTCTGGCACTGACTGCAGCAAAAGTGCAAGAAGCTCTTGTGTCGCCCCGGCTGCCAGGAGCATGCGACGGATCAATTCTCGATCAGTGACCTCAGCCGAGCAGGAGTCTTTTAACGGCCTCGCCATATTAATGATGTTCTTTGCTGCTGCTGCTGGTGCTGCTGCTGCTGCTGCTGCTGCTGCTGCTGCTACGGCTGCTGCACGTATTTCCAACACATTTTGACTTGTCATCTCAAGCTTCGTTTGTGTCGCGCACCAATTGCAGAAACAAGGCACGTGCTCTCCTGTGTCATTCCACGCCCTGGGCACAATGCAACAACACCGCGGAAGTCTCGGAGCATTGAACTTGACCCGACGCCTCACCAGACTACTGAGTTTTGGCGCCAGCGTCCGTTGGTCTATTTCGGCTTTTTTGACCCCTGACTGGAATGCGGGCTTCCTGCCGTTAGGCTGCGGATCGCTGCGCGCAGCCTTCAACATCTCTGCAAACACCTGGCCGCTAGAGTTCAAAGGAAGATGTGTGAGCTCTGCAAGCCCTTTCCGAAATTCCGAGATGTCTTGACAAACCTACATGTAACAGCTCTTCACTTCCGGTTGCGACTTCTGGGAAGCAGCGCTGGCTAACTCCAACATCGATCACCAGACGAGAAGTGACACCGTACAGGACCAGTCATCTCAAGTACATTTTGACATTGCGGACAGGCTTTGGCCTGGTGACTATGATACTGAGTATGATATATGGTTGCGGAAAAATCTTAGAAGCACGAGCCTAGACAGCCTATGCATGACTGTGGGTGCAAGGGATCTCAGCGACTGCCTCTTGCCAGCAGAGCCGCGGCACCGCCAAGGTCCCTGTAGGACTCTGATTCTGACCTGTCGTTGCCAGAACTGCAGACGCTTCCCTTCCTGGCCTGGCCGCCTGGCCTGCGAGGACACAGAGTTCTTGCTCCACTGCCCACGCCCGAACATGAGCAGCAAGCTCCTCGTCCGAGGCTCTGCAAGGCAGGATTGGTCAGGAGAAGTGCATGTAGGCAGGATTAGACAGGTCTAGCAACTGGCAACACACGAGTTCCTCCACACACTTGGCACGAACAAAAATGCGAGGGCCTGTGCGCGTCTAGTATCGCCCTATATGTCTGTATATATATACATACATACATACATACATAATTACATACAGACACATACACAAATATATATATATATATGCTACCCCCCCCTCATGTACCCACGCCTTGTGCTTGAATCGTGTGCGAAAACTCACGTAAATCGCCACTTTACTTTGTATGGTAGCATAACTGCTCATTGCTTGCAGTACGCTCTACACGTACGAAAAAGTTCATGTGACCCAGAAAACACAACGTGGGTAAACGCCCTAATTTCCTGTGTGTTGTTGTGTGAAGAGAACCGAAAAACCAACGAAATAATGAGTGCGTGCTTTCGCTCCTCTCACAACAAAGAACAGGAACTTAATTAGGAAGCATGCACTAATTGCTTTTCATTCACTTGTTTTCTCTTATCAAATCTGGCCTAGCCCTACATGAAATAAACCACAGTCAAAGGGCAAGAACACATGACAGCGGTTAGTTCACGGATCACTGGTGTAGCGAATAATCGGAGGAACGGTGGAAATGAAGTGAATAATTTCGTGGGCGTTTTGTTCTTTTAAATGCAACGAATGGCACGATTTAAATTAACAAAACACAAACGAAATATGAACGAAACCAG